GTATCAAATACTTATTTGCCCCACTGTATATGTTGGTAGATGTATGTGAAAGAAATTGCAGCATATAAAATACCAAGACTTTGTTTAGGGTAATTTAGAAAGTAAGTTTCCATTATGTACAGTATACAACTATATAGTCTCTTTAAAGCAGATGTGGGCGAGTCGTTGACCTTATCTTGCCACTGCAGGATTTCTTTTGCTTGTTTTCTCTCTAACCTCCATTGGCCTCAGCCATCCAGTATTGATCAGGTGTAGAGGCTTGAATGTAAAGAGGAGTAACTTGTTTGTTGGACTGTTGTTTGGGTTCCGTGTTGTGTATCCTAAATAATGACTTTTTCTTTATCAGGCATCCTCTGCTGTGCCGTCTTCACCTTTTGCTCAGTATAAAGGAGAGTTGGTGATATCCTTGAAGTATGTCACACCTAAAATGCCAGCTGAGAAAATCAAAGGTAAGACAATGGTAAGAAAACAGCTATGTTTGATATACTGTACTTTGCCTCAGTTTTCAAAGTGTGTCTGTATTCTCTGCTTCAGGCAAAAAGGTAGCGACAGAGGAAGGAGAACTACATGTCCTGATTAAAGAGGCAAATAATCTGATGGCAGTGAAATTAGGAGGCACGTCAGATAGCTTTGTAAAAGGGTTAGTGGTGTTCTGTCGACTCTTGTCTGTTTTCATACAAGCGTGTCTTTTTAAAGTTAACTTGGTGTTTGGGATTCTGCAGGAACTTGTTCCCCACAAAGGAGAAGACCTCAAAGAGGAAGACTCCAGTAGTGAAGAAGAACCTGAACCCCCACTATGACCACACATTTGTGTACAAGGAGCTGGCTCTGGAGCAGCTGAAGGGGATGTGTCTTGAGCTCACTGTGTGGGACAGAGAGGCCATGTCGAGCAATGAATTCCTAGGAGGAGTTCGTCTCAGCTCTGGCAAAGGTAACAGAGAACATATTTTTGAATTAAACAATGACTGGGTTATGTCCTCCATCTTTTATCCTGAACTGCATTAGAAAGGGATCTCTTAATGGCCAATATGAACCAAAGGAACGACTACAGCAAGTAGAATCTTTTTCAGTGTTCATATAGACAGCTGACTGTTACTTTAAGACCGAACATTTCTTTTAATTGAAATTTAGGATTCAGATCATGGTTAGATCACTGAGTAGGGGGCAGCTTTTTAACTTGCATTGTGCTCTTAAGGTGAATTTAATTAATCTTAATAAAAAGAGAAAGTAGCACCTTTATCATTCCTTTTCTAGTTTAGATTTATTATCAAAGCCTTTGTCATAGAGATGTGCTTAATTTTAGATTACTACTGGAGCACTTAAAAGCTTCCAAGGCTTTTTCTCCCATGTGAAAACTGAGTAAAAGGAGCTTGCCATTAATAACAGGCTCTACTAATTGTGCATTCACTGCATAATCCTCACCCCTGTAGGCACTGTTAAAATGGGAAAGGAGGAAGTGGAAATGGACTCAGTTGGAGAGGAGGTCAGTCTGTGGGAGAAGATGATGCAGTACCCTGATTCGTGGGCAGAGGGCACTCTTCCACTGCGCTCCACTATGGGGAAAGTAAAGGGCAAATGAGGACTGCAGAAGAAAAGACACTGAAATGAGAGAAGCTGTAGCATCACCCCTATCCCCCAGGTGTGATGACCCAAAGTGTGCCAAAGCATCAGGACACCTTCTTTTAAGAAGATTGTCATTTTGTTTTTGTTAAAGTTCAGAATTTTTATTATTGAACTTCAAAATCACACAGAGCACTTAATACAAAAACGGTATCAGCATGTCATCCTTGTCTTTAATAATTGTGTACAGAATTAACATTAGGAAAACTTCGTTATAAACTGCTGTTATACAAAATTTCTGGTGTTGCATCCAAGAAGTTGTGCTTAGTTTAATCTGCACCGTCCTATCACATTACTGTTTTTATATATAATTTTATAAGCTGAATAAAAAGCCTTATTTGAAATTCAGTTCCTCTGTTTGAAGATGTAAATGTGGATTTTATTGTTTTACTCCATTTTAATTCCTCTGGAGTGTGACCACAGCCATATTTACCTGAAATACTGTTAACCTAATAAAAAGACTAACCCTAAAACTTGACTATCTCATCTTATTACACCGTATGTACCAGATGCCAGCTGGAGTCTTATCTGTTCACTCTAGTGTTTTTCATTAGTCTCGTGTGTGTGTGTGTGTGTGTGTGTGTTTTCTAGTTTATAATTATCAGGTTACTAATGTGGTTTCTTTGGCTAATTTGTATTTATGCTTCATAATATGTATGTATGCTTCTCTCTTAACCTTGTGAGCTGTTTGCTGTAGTTGTGGTGGCAATATTCTGGGCTCTATACACCTCAGCTGATGATTTAATATAAAAGAAACAGTGCTAGCACTTCAGTGTTGTATAGTGAACGTGAGGAACTGTGTTCTTGGCCTCCTTTCCCTCCTAATGTTCCTCTGGACCTGCTTTCTGCTCATCTATCCTTCCTCATTTTGTGTTAGTAACAGCCTACTGATGACATTATCACTGTGGCAACCAGAGAGGTTTATTTAATCACACAAGTCCCTGTGGAGCTCGAGCCTATCTCGTTCCTCTTCATTCCGCAGGAAGCTGTGGTAATGAAGCGCTCCCGGTCCAGTCCGAGCTCATCCAGCAGCACCATGCTGAAGTAGGTTCTGGAGATTCTGAATACTTGTCTACAGAGAAACATGATAAAGCAACTCTTTCATTAAAGGGAAAGTCCATTATCTCATACTAAAGGTACTTTAATGAATAAATTTTTTTTTATAATTTGTGACTGTAATATGAGTTGTCATGATGGCAGAGCTTTAGTGTCATTCAGTTCAAGGTTTCGGTTTTTTGTTCTGTAGTTTTGGTGCATTCTCATCACTCTTATACTTCTGGTTGCAGCAGACAGATGCCACACTGCCCTCAAGTGTCCAAAAAATCTAATATTGCAGGTTTAAAGCAGCATTGTTTTTATTTATTTGGCACTCTAGCAGCAGAGCAAACTAACACAACACTGACATACACTATTACCCCCTTATGCAGATGATATGCTAATGTTTTCACAAAAGTTTCCTTTAAATCCAGCTTAAGTAATCATGTTTCACCATACAGATGCAAACAAACACTGAGGTGCAAGCACCTTCTCTCTATATCACATCGTCAGCTGAGAGGAATGGAGGCCAGGAAATGGTCGCCACAGATACAGAAAACAATATCTGACAAGGTTAACTGAAAAACATAATAGTAAACATATACATGCACATAATAATAAATGACAAATGAAGGCTCAGTGTTTACTCTTTTTTTAACAATTAACCAACTGCCAAATGTTCAACTATGTCCACCAGCTAATCACTGACTGTCATTTGCTTCTAGAAAGGTAGTTTACAGTGAAAACATCTGCCTGCTGCATCTGGAAGTAAGGTGATTTCGAGCACCAAGGGGGAACCAGAACAGTGAATTTACAAGATGCTAAAATGCTGAGACCTGAGGAAAACTGGGTGATAATCCCCCATGTGTTCATCACCACAGGCAATCAACCCCCTTTTTATATTACAGTCATTTCATCCATTGTTAATAGAAGAATATTAATTAGTTTAGCTTTATTCTTAATGTTGCTAACTTGTTTACATTTATGGAGACACCCTTTCTGACTTCCCTAGGCCACTTCTACTTTAATGATTTCTGCCTACATTTCCCAGAGTGCATTGTACTACACTCCAAGAATGTGCTTCATGTTGCATTCAGCTGTGGGATTTGTGTACCAGTGTAGAGTCTGAAGGTTAGGGGTAGGAAGAGATTTTCCTGTCTGGAAAAAGTGAGCAGTTCCCCTTCTCAAACGGCACAGTTGGTGGAAACATTTTCATCTTTGTCTCTTCTAAGCTGAATTAGTGGCTACATGACTGTGTTTGGTGCAAACGAGTGGAAATTCCCTTACTCAGCAGTTCTTATGAGAAACACAGCCAGATTTTCATTGGTGATATTGTTTCCTCAGCCCGTCAAAATTCCATTAGTGCTAACCAGGAATTATGTTCCTTTTTAACATTGTTTATCTTTCAAGTGAGGAGAATGGGAGTTACTGTATATAAAACCATTGCAAGAAGGAATTTTTCAACTAAATGAACAGTTTTCGTAGAATGAATCATAAAACTGATGAATAACTAAGTGATGTAGTGTCTCACTGTTACCTCAAAACCTCGATGACTTCAGAGTTAAGCAGACTGTCCTTAATGTGGCCTGTCTCATGAGGTGGGGAGCCCAGGAGCTCGATCACAGTTACATGTCTCAGCTCTAATCCACAGTCTGATTTCTAGTGGGAACAAGGAAAACGGAGTCTGAGGTTCCTGTTGTTTATTAAGCTTTCCTAGAAACTGTTATTTTTGGGGGAGATTCATGTGAACTCAACAACAAGGTTCCTCACCTGTATCATGATGTTCTGCAGCTGGTAGTCCGGATCAGTTATGTTGGGGGCTGACACGATCAGCAGCCTCCTCTTTTCATAGAACTGATCCAGGAGAGCAGAGGCTGTCTTTACATCTGATTTAATCTCTGTCGCTACAAACACACAAGGACACAATCACATTCTGCATGTATACCATCTTACATTCCTGTTAGTATTATAATGTAAACAGGTTTTATGTGACTGAGGTTCCAAGAAAGTTTTCTCTCTAAACATTCCAGATAGATTCATATCTAGATTAAAGCACATTTCAAAAAGGAATTACAAATTTGCCTAATTTAAAACTGAACCAGCTACAACAGTAAAATGCTCATTAAATCATACATTAGTCACAAAGATAAACTGTTTTTTAAATAGTTTTATCGGTAGTTTAACTAAGTAAAAATGTGTACTTCTTCCAGTAGTGGTGCAATATATGCAGCAAATCCAAAAGCACGTTACTGCAAGCTCAGTCCTTACCAACACACTCAGCGGGGCTTCCGTCCCAGTTGCGGTCGAACTGGCAGACACGACTAGACACCCCCCTGAGTTCATATCCTCCATCACAGAGGTAGTCACATGTTGCACCGTAGTTATTCCCATCAGAGGAGCAGGTGAGGGAGCCATGCATTGGTGGAGACAGCTCTGGACACCTTCTCACTAGGAGACAGTGGGAATAAGAAATCCAGTGTGTCCTCCTCTTAAGTTACAATACTGTATTCAAGCTAATGTGTAATAGTATTTAATCTCATTTCATAAATCAGCTTACCCTCAACACGTACAATAAACTTGCAGGTAGCTCTGTTCCTGGCTTGATCGTACACTTTGTATTGGATAATGTTTGCTCCCTCTTTAAAGTCAGTGTCAGGCTCCTGGCCTACTAATATTACCCTGCAGAGAGACAAGTGAAGGCCAAATGTTTAATTCCATTTTAAAGTGAAGAGGGACAGCCAGTAAAGGGATGGAGCAACATACTCAAGTGATTTATCAGCAGTATCTCTGGCAGAAGGGGGGTCCCACGTCACCCTGGCAGTGAGTTTTCCAGGCTCAGCAACCTTGATTCTGGACAGAGGGCACTTGATCTTTGGAGGATCAGTATCTGAAATAAACAGTTGAAGACTTAAAATATTAGACTTTAAAGGAAGGAGGCTGGTTTTAATGGCCACATCTTTTTTGGACCATTATAAAGAGCAGAACGTGAAGACTGTAAAACTGCAACCACAGTTCTGGATTCAGTCCAAAGAACAAAGGAGCAGGAAATATGCTTGATTTTGTCAGAGTGGAAGCCCTGGGAGCTAGGATTGTGAAAGAATTATGGAAAACTGGACAGCAAAACAGATGGCATGAATTTAAGCAGCAAGCTGAAACTGTATTTGATAGTCAACAGTTGTCAAATAGAATTTGACAGTGCTGAAATTCCATTGCATAAGACATCTCAGTTTGCACACTGGGTTAGCTCTACTTGGATCTGCACACATGTACCTAAACAATCTGGCTGTGCTCCGGTCCACGATCCCCCATGCTGACAGGTGCGTGAGTGTTCCCCCTCGATGCGATAGCCGGGGTTGCAGGTGAAGTCACACCTGGAGTCCACCACAAAGCCACGCGTGCATGTGTATCTGCCATGTGGGATGAGGGGCAGCACAAAGCAACGCATTTCTGAAGAAATGTCACCACAAAGACATAAAGTACAGCACACTGAATGTAAAGGTTGAAACAATCACACAATCAGTATACACGCTGGTGATATTCTGTAACTTCTGTTACTGTCAACAAATCCCATGAAAAACCAAAGTCAACATTGTTAGTCCTTATGTCAACATGGCTTCTCCTACTGAAGACCTAAAGAGTTAATCATGAATTAGTACTTTCTTTTTTTAAATGCCTAAATAATTTCCTAAAATAAATGGACACTGGCAGCACAGTGGTTTGCGCTGTCGCCTGCGTGGGTTCTCTCCGGGTACTCCGGCTTCCTCCCACAGTTCAAAGACATGCAGCTTAGGTTGACTGGTGACTCTAAATTACTGGTACGACTGAGTGTGGGTGAGTGTGGTTGTTTGTCTACAGGTCAGCCCTTTGTGACACTATGTGGCACTGACTCAAACTAAAACAGGCCACGCTTTTAGTAATGAATGAACATGTCAGTCAGTGCAACAGTGTGACTCATTTCTGTGTTTTTAATAGACCTTGAACAGCAACAGAGCTCTATGGTACAGAGGAATAAGCTGAGTTAGGCTTTGGCTACACAGACAAAACTTGTTAGTAGGATCACTCTTCACTGTTTCATGGGATTTGCTGATTATATGAAAAACACAGAATATCACCAGATTCATCCTCATATGGAAACTTAGTTCTCAGCTTCCACGTACTGCGGCAGTGAGCAGTCCCAGACCACAGTCGGCTGGCAAGGCACTGAATCAATCTCTTCCCTATCAATCGGTATCCTCGGTCACAGCTCATCTCACAGTGGGTGCCCAGCGAGCTCCTGTAGGCTCTGCCTCGAGTGGAGTGGCAGGTCACCTCCCCATTGGTCAGACTCAAAGAACGACACCAGCGTGGGTCTGTTTATGAAGAGTAATCAAACACAAATCTGTGTGAAACACTAATGGTGGATAGCAGGGTGCTACATCGCTCATAACAGCATCATCTGATGTCAGACTTCACACAGATATGGAAAGAACTCTGATAATAGATTGCTGTACTGTGTATTCCTGAAGGTACTGTATATACTGTCATATCGCCCAACCCAGGTGAGTGTGTTTTTTTCCATTACGCACTGTTGTAGTCTAGTTGAGGAGTGTTGTCTTCTTCTGTAAAGTCGCTGTAGCTGTCATTCACTATGGTCCCAGAACCAGCTGAAACAACAAAACACAGACATGGAAAATAGCATTTTTATGTGAACAAGACATCAATCAGATGCTAAACTTGGCTGGCTCTCTGGTCAGTCAAACATTACAATCCATTAAGTTTCAGTATGAGGGCTGTTACAGTATATAGGTCATATAGAGGCAAACAGGTGTGCAACTGATTCTCCCAACACAATCTCATTTGCATAACTTCCTTTCAGGTTTCCTTTCACACAGGCTCAAAAAAACATTCCAGTCCATAGACACCTGGATTTGCAATCAGTGACTCTAACGGAAACGCCTGAGGCACAGAAAACATTACAGTCTTATCTTGTGAATGGTATAGAACCTACTTTATGCTTTCATGAAGGGACATAAACCTTTATTTTGTAGTGTTTTTTGGCTGTCATTAAACAGTAATATGAAACTTTTAAGTCAAAACAACTTAGGACAAACTGCATGTTTTTATTACACACTTGGAGATGGTCCCTCTTACTCATCTCTTTCCGTGCTATAGGCAGAATGACTCGTGCACTGGCCTTCTTTCTGCCCAATAAATCTTTTTTTTTACTATTTTCCTCCTTTCTCAGCAGTTGTAGGTCAGGCACATTGTCCCTTAAGAAATCCTGAAAATAACTCCATGTTTAGAGCTGAGTGCCAAACTTTCCAGTCTGTCAGCCTCCACCCCCACCTCAAGTCAGTTCCTGTATTGCCTCCTTTGCTCCAGCTCAGTTGTTTCTGTTTTCTGGCACACTTGCCCTCAATAGAATTAAGTTTACTTTAACGCAGCTTTTAATAATGATACTTCATGTTCTGAAGCTTCTCCAGATTATTCCAGTGACAGAACTCATTGTCAGCATTTTTCTCAAAATGAGCCCAGTGTTTCAGTCAGTAACACCTCCCTAGGCCTCCTTACAGAGAATTCCTCACAGAGGAAATAAACAAGCTCAGCTCGTCAGCCTGTTGGGCTGCACTGCAGAGCTAAAGTACAGACAGACACACGACAAACTTTACTTCGGGCACCTACTAGTTGACAAGCACTATCATGCATGCAGCAAATGAAAATCCTTTCTTTAAAAATACAGAGATAAATCTTCTGAAGAGGTGAAAAGTAACTATTTGTTCAAGTTCTCAAACACAAATTTGAGATACTGAGATGCATGTACTTCACTTGAACATTTTATTTTCATCATAATTCTACTCCACTACATTTAACTGACAGATATAGTTACTAGATATTTTTCAGGTTACAATTTTACACAAAAGCACAATGTATAAGCTTATAAAAGCCAATACACTGTTAAAGATGGCACCAGAGGTTCCATATGGAATTACTACGCTGATTATTAAATTATCAAAGTAATCGCTGGACACCAAGATGCTGACACATTCTGAGCACCAGGCGCCACTGACAGTGCAGACTTCATAACATGTAGTGAAGGCAGAGTGAGTCCATGCTGCAGCGATGAGTCACACCAGAGGAAGGCATGTAGTCTGACTGTTTGCCATTAGAAATGGATGAAACCTCAAAGACGAGATAACGACCAGCATCCTTTCAATCATCAACTGAGCTTATGTGTGCTCCTGAGTGGAAGTCAGGTCACGTTATTATCTTGCAGGATTAAATGAAGGCTTTAGCACACTTGGTCCACAGGGGACACCTCAGTAATTAACTGGCAGAGATTGGAGCCCAGCTGTAATTAAGCTACCTGGTCAGCAAGTAGAGAGAAGCACCTGAAGAGAACTGCAGAAAAAGAATTCAATTCATTTTGACTGGACTGTGGCCAGTTGCATTTTAGGAGGTGTCATAGAGGAACTGCAACCCAACTCTTCATCCCTGAAGGGAGGAGTGGGCTTTACTGAATTCATCTAGTCTCCTCAGAACTTCAGCACATCTGCATTTAATACAATGGTTATTGCTGTGAGATGAAGGTATTTCCCAGCTGCAGAGAAGGAACATGGATGTCTGTGTGACTTGAATTATCAGTGATGGAATGTAACTCATGTTATCTGAGTTACCCATACTTGAATATTTTACTTTACTTTTACTTGACATGCGACAGTATTGTACTTTTTGCTTCAGTATTTTTATCCAACAGCTTCAGTTACTGTTTAAAAATGAAAGTTTTATATACAAAACATCTGAAACATTATAGAACATGGTGCACTCTTAAATGCTGAACTACTAAGATGAAATGATTAGTAGGTCATCAGAAATTTAATCCATAATTAAGTCATCTTTCATGCAAAAATGCCACAAATCTCACAGTTTCACCTTCATAAATATGTAATTTTGGTGCATTTCGGTCTTAAATTAAAGCAAACTGAATAATTTGGGGAAATGAATATATCATGTTGGCCTCTGGGGAACTGTGCTGAGCATTTCTCACTATGACACTATTTTAGGCCAAACTAAATCAGCAGATTAATTAATAGCCTAATCATTGTTGTAGTCTTCTATATAAGCTAAACTAGTTGTACTTTAATCAATTACTATAGTGAAAAGTCTTGCGTACACTCTCCAACTAAAGCCTGTTATTTAAGCAACATTTCCAGTGAAGGACTTTGGCATGTAATGGAGGATTTGTACATTCTGACGACCATCGCCTGACTAAAATCAGTATTAATAAACCTGGCCTTTATGTTTAGACTCGTGAACTCACCTGTGAAGAATAAAATGAACACAACGACAGATTTGCTGGGGCGCATGTCAGAAACACAGGGATGACGCTCCTGGGAGGAAGAAGTTTTTTTTTTTTTTTTTTTTTTTTTGCTGGAGTTCAGATCCAAGAGTGCAACAAAAGAAGGACAAAGTGAGGCTACGATCCCGAAAAAGTTTACAGTTGGTTTGACAAAGGATTTGGTTTAATGATCCCAGATGAGGACAACAAGCGCTGCCGCCACACAGGAGTCTCCGTTGTGTTCTGTGGCGCAAGGATCCTTCTGGTTTATCGGCAAAGTCAAAAGCCACTTGGTGGCACTGTTGGACTTCTGGTGTGTGTGTGTGTGTGTGTGTTTCCTCCCACAGCTGCACCAAATAGCCTGTATTGATTGGGTCATTTTGTAAAACCCTTCCCCTTCTGATAAGTCTGGAGAGTGAAGGTTATTATAGGCTACAGATGCAAATAAATACAAAATAAATGCTTATACTCACTCATTTTATGTGACTGAGATCAGTGATGACTTGTAATGATAGCCTTCATTTTTAATTTCGCCTGATTAGGATGCACATATGATCATGCACTGAATCCTTTCTGTCTTTTCATTGGTAATGGGAACTTGACAAAGTTAATTCTTGTGTTTTTATTATCTCATGGCGCTATTTTAAAGTTATAGCCTAATATTTATTGCATGTGGCACCTCTCAAAAACGAGTTTACAAAATGCTTGACATGGGCTACATAAAAACAGAAAATAACCACACTTTGCAACAGACCTGACAAGGCTTGTTGTTATATCTCCACTTAACCTAAACGACCTAACATTGTCGTTGCTGTTC